GAGCTTCAATCATGCAGTGACGCTGTTGTGTACAAAACCTGTACTTGTTTGTTGTAGTTTGCAAATGTGGATGGTTTTTTATAATAAAAGATCTGTTCTCAAATTATTAATAAAAAAAAAGCTGTTGTTATTTGACAGAATTGGCTCATCTTATTCACCAGAGGAAAAAGTGAAATTTGCAGCTAGAAGTAAGTTTCTTTTTCTCCTCTTTCCTTTTCTTCTTCTTTCTTTTGCGATTCATTTGCTAACACATCTTCCATTAGCTCCAAAAAGTTGTGAATGAATTCTATTTCATTTTTCTAAAAGCCAGTGATATAAACAGCAAAGTAGGTCAAAAATCACTTGTTCATAAGAGATTAAATTCACCCTTGTGCAGAGGGGCAATACAAGGCCTTATGTCCTGAAAATAGGGTGTAAATGGGATTTAATAATGATAACACCAACTAGCTCTGATATAGCACTTTTCATTTTTAGATTTCAAAGTGCTTGACAAAGGAGGTAAGTATCATTATCCCCATTTTACAGCTGGGGAAACAGAGGCATAAGGAGGGAAGTGACTTGCCCAAGGTTACCTAGCAGGCCAGTGGCCAAGCCAGGAATTGACTAGGAGTTTCCCAAATCCTAGTCCAGTGCCCTATCCACTAGACTATTGTGCCTCCTTTTGTGGGTCCTTTTGTGGTGGCCCTCTCTAAAGGGGTGAATTTCACCCCATGAGATTATTAATTATTTCTCACTCACAAGGAATATTGTCTTTGAGAAATAATGTAGGATGACAAAGGAGAGAATGAAAGAATTCAAATCACTCACAAAGACCATGTGAGGCCCAGTCCTGCAGCCCTGACTCATGGGAGTAGGTTCTTACTCAACCAAGTAATTATGGCCATGAGTAAGAATTATGAGCCAGATTTTCAAAAATAATTAAAAAGTCTAAAGATGCAGATAGGTGCCTAACCTGCGTAGGTCCTTCTGTAAATCCCAGCAGGTGCCTAACATCAGTGATTTAGGGGCTTAACATGCTTAGATGCTTTTGAATCATCAGATGCCTACCAGTATCTTTAGGCAGCTAAATACTTTTGAAATATGGCCCTACAAGACTAGGTTTGTATTCCCTTTGGCGAAATATAGCTGGCGGTGGAGGAATATTTTGACCTGAGTAAGCCAGCCGTTAATTTCCCCTCTGCTTCAAATCCTGCAGCAATCAACAGAACAACAATTTTAAATCATTACCACCATCATTAAACATTATTAAAGGCATTCTATATTCTACCCTCTGTGCGCCTCAGCATCAGCCTCCTCCATTCAGATCACAGTGGGTGTTTTTCCAGAGGATGGAGGGGTGTATGCAGGCAGGAGAGCAGTGCATGTGTGATCCCTTTTCCATTTCAGAAGTAGTAACTGACCTTACCTACTTTTGAGGTAGTGACCAAAAAGTGAAAGGATAAAAGCTTATATAGCTTACCAAGACATGGCTACTTTATGCACTTCCCAAACCCAGGAGCATCAGTAAAAGCACCTTCACAGATACTGTATTGCAATACACAGAGATGTCAGTAGCCAAACAGTGTTATTCCCAGAATAGGTCCATCATACCTGGAAGACTCTAACTAGCCATACCCTCCTATCATCCCAGTGATAAAGTGCCAGTTCTGGAAATTGATGGTAAATATGTTACAATGAACACACGATATTTGGGTGTATGAAATAATACCTCATTTATTAAATGCTTTGTGTTCTAGTCGGATGCCTAAACTTTTGCAAACATGCTCGCCTGTCTATAGTATCACATGCAAATTCTGTCTCTTGGACTAGAATTAAATCATGAGAGCAAAATCAGTTTCTAGATTTGTTTAATTGTTTTCCTTAGGAGAGCTGTAGGTCCTCTCAGACCCTCCTGGAGCTTGAAGAGGGATCTCACAGATGTACCATTTTTAATATCCCTCTTCTCCTTTTCCTTCTAAGCCTCATCAGCAATCTTCCCTTTGATGGAGGAGGGCTGGAGCATTGCTCCTTTCACAGCTTGTCAGTACAGTTTCCTGTGGGCAGAATTCAGTGCTCTACTTTATCTGTCTGTACATGTATGTCATGTGGATTACTGCAATACCTGAGTGCCTTACAAAGATCACTACAACCACAAGATGCAGACTTGCACGTAGTCTAGTTTCCTCCCTACTACTTCTAATGCAGATGAGACATTTAATTTCATTCTCTCCACATAATGGCAAAGCCTATTGCTTCTGTAATTCTCTCAACTCCTCATAGCCCAGAAAACTGGCACCTAAACTCAGATGTCCCACTTCATAACAGAATTACTTCAGCTCCTGAAGTGGAGCCTCGACCCTGATTGGGGCCTTTGGCTGTGGTTATAAATAAACATTAATAATACTACTAAGCCAGTATAAGTGACTACACTTGGATCTATTATAGCTGACTAATTCTGCCTCAGGTCTCACGGTCACATCGGTTTTAATATTTTTCCTGGGGGTGTATTAACTTTGGGTGCACCAGTTTCTTTCAGTATGTTGATGACTTCTCTTCCTGTTTACACAGCATCTAGTGCAAAGGGCATGGTAAAAGGATGTACATAAGATCTGCGAATTGCATGACATTCTCATGCTTTTCTGAGAACCTCCTCTTCATTATTATTTTCTTACATACCCTCAGGGGATTGGGGGAAAAGGGATTAAAAAAAACGCTTTTGCTATTAGTAAATGATCCACACGGTACCCTTTTTTACTCTACTTCATGGCACCTGTTTCCTTGACAAAGAAGGGCTCACTCCATAAACAATCACAGTCATGTTGGAAAGGAATTCTCCTCTAGGACTGGGGATTTTGGGGGGCTGGTTTGGAAAGTAAGAATTTTCACCTGGAGCACTTAGCTAGGAGTGTCCTCTGTTCATCCTATATTTTTCTTCTATGCTTCTAACATAACAAAGCTTTGGAATGTAATCAACATAGATCTTGTTATAGTTCCTTTCATGTTAATGATCCCAAAATATGGTTCAAGCTTATCAAAGTGATGTGCCAATACAGGGAAACCGTCGCTGGGTTGGAGGAGCATAAAAGGGGTGTAAAAGTGCACAACACACCAGATTAGGCCAGGAAGTGAAGGAGAATCCTGAGTCCAACTAATTTCAAGAGGAATTTTAATGACTGAGAGTGATCAGGACTTCTGATTTAAGTTTTGTCCAAAAAAATCCCCTCTGTCACCATACTGGGGCATTGGATCAAGATTGAATCAGAGGGAAGAGTGCCAGCTACTGGACTGCCAACACCACTTTCTACCGTACCCTGGGTTTTCCTTAGCAGTCTCACCAGCAAATGCTTGCCCCTTCCTAGCTTTGTCAGAGCTAATAAGATCACAGCCTGCGGGCTATTAAATCTCAGAGATGAAAGGACTGATCATTTCATATGATAGAAATCATATAACTGTAATTATACTAACTGTAATTATTCCCACTTTGACAATAAATATTTTAGCTTCCCCAGCACATTTAATAGCTGCACCACCTGTGACAGTGAGTCATTCCATTGCCATCTTCTAATTATAACTCAGATATTAAACAGATTTCTCTGCAAAGGTACCTCGTATTTCAGCGAAACTAACAAGGCAGGATTTAATTTTTAGTAGACAGCGCAAGGAGATCAGGTTGCTAAAGCAACTGCATGTGTTCAGTGTTATCCTTTCTCTGTAACAGGACTCTCAGGCTTCTCTAGAATTAGAATTTCAGTTAATAACATTGAAAATAGGACATAAAATATGCCACTGGGCTTAAAAACCTCCCCCACCCCCACCAAGACATGTGCATATCTTGGTATAACTCCACATCCTGCAGTGTGATATTGATAAAATAACACTCATATTTACGTACTACAAATATTGGGAGAATACAGCTATGGATTGATATTTCTGATGCTTAGGCAAATACAGATCCAATATCTACAGTTCAGAATAGAAAGCCAATCAGCTCATTCATTTTTATTCAAATTCATTTCCAAGAAATGGTAACTAGTTCAGTATGGGAGTAGTGGCTAGCAGAGGTGACTAGCAATAAAAATCGGTTGAGCACTTAAGTCACATGGCTTTGTTTCTGTGCCCTGCCACAAACATCAAGAAGGCCATAAAATGATTCCTGGCACCAGGTGAACACATTCTCATGAGCACACAATCTTCCACCAATCAATCGTTCATGCAAACAAAATATATCACTTGCACGAATGTTCCCTGAAACAACTCTAAAGCAGGGGTTCTCAAACTGGGGGTTGGGACCCCTCAGGGGGTCGTGAGGTTATTACATGGGGGGGTCGTGAGCTGTCAGCCTCCACCCTAAACCCCGCTTTTATAATGGTGTTAGATATACAAAAAAGTGTTTTTAATTCGGGGGGGGGGGTCGTACTCAGAGGTTTGCTATGTGAAAGGGGTCACCAGTACAAAAGTTTGAGAACTGCTAGGGATTCACATAATTTCAAGTTTTCACAGCTCCAGTGACAACTTTGTCTTAGGCCTTTCTATAGCTTCATGGCTGTGGTGTACAGACATTCAATTAAAAGAATAAGAATCACATTATTTTTTGCTCAAGGATTTTCAATGCTCCCGAGCCCTCCTAGATTTAGCAAACTGTAACTGAATGGGGTTTTTTTTGGAGTGGCTGATCTCAGTCCATCGCCTACTAAACAGCTGCCCACATCATGAGAATCACCTTCACTATTGGCATTAGCAGCTTCACCCCCCACCTCTTTGTTGGCCAAGCATGGAGAGTAAAGTAACTGTTCAACCACAAAGGTGGTGAATCCAGAGCTGGGTAAGATGCATTAGCAGGGCAGGGAGGAGCTTGCTACTCCCACTGTGCTATATCTGTTCTGTGCATAACTGGAGTACTTCATACTCAGTGTGGCCCCTAAATAAGAAGGCAGTTTGGGATTCTTTAGTGGAAAGGAGGAATCCTTTAGGCTGTGGTTTCAACAAATGAATTGGTGTACGATACACACAAATACCAACCATGAGAATTATGAATCAACATTTATTGATGATATATACAGAAAAGGTACAACACTTAGTGAAATATTGTATTCACTGATTATTTCCAGTATATAAAGAATGTCCAGTTTGTTTTATACATGAAAGTTACAGAAATCAGTTCACACAGTAAGAACGCATTTAAAGCAAATGGCTAAAGTGTTACTGTAAGGAAGAGAAGTTCTGAATTACTTATATAAAATCTACTTAGTCAACAAGGCATTCCTACTACACTACAAAAGAAAGGAGCCCAGAATTAGTAGAAATTTTATCGTCTGCATTCATTAGTTTTCAAACAAAATGTGCTACAGATACTGTACAATACGTCACTTCAAGTCCCAGATAAACATTTACAATAGAAGGAAAATATCAAGCTTATCTTTCTGTTTTGTTTCTTTTTACATGAAGGATCCTAGCTAGTGAGTGGGTCTCTCCTGAGAGGAAGCATGTAAGGCCTAGAAGTAAGCAGGAAAGACATGGAGTACTGTGGAACATGCAGTTTGAATGGAAACATAATACGTCTCATTAGAAACCACACATCCCCCACTGGTTGGGCCTGATTCTGAACTCATTCCAGTTTTACCCCGGTTTAACTCCACTGACGCTAATGGAGTTACTTTCATCTGTGAGGAGAATCAGGACCCCTTGTCTCTAGGAACGAATTGAGTTGATGCATCTCTCCCGAGGTGTCTCAGATCTACTGAGCATCAGTTGCACTTCATAACACTTTCAGTTTTCAGTCCAGAAATGAGGATTTTTTCTTATAAGCTCATGGACATGACTCATAGCACAGGTTTTACAATATCCCTGCCGTTATATATATTTGCCATATGTGCATTGCATGGGACACATAATTTTGCAAATCAAATAAGCATAAATGAACACCAACCAAAGAACATATTTGTCCTTTTTTTGCACAACTGACATCCACTTGATTTTGTGCTTAATTCTCAATATCTATTAATATCCTTATTTGATAATGGAAACAGCATTAGTCCATCCATGTACTTATGGTTCTATAAATCTTACTCACAGATTGTTTCTACAGAGGAAATGAAATGAAGGTTAATACTTTGCATTCCAGGGCACATAATAAAGTAAGCAGTCAAGCATGTGCTTCTGTTTAAGACTAAATGTCAGGCTTAGTCATTGTCTTCTGACTGTAGTTTCTTCGCTGGAGTCTGCAGTCAATGAGTAACTGAAAGTGAGTCAGAGGAATCCTGAAACTCTGCTGTGTGAATATGGATTCCTTGTTGTAAGCTACACATATTGCCGAAGATAGACATGGTGCCCAGAGAGAGAGTACAGTAAAGTTAATTTTTCCTTCTGACCATTGTGCTAATTTACACAGTGACTTACTAATCTTATGTTGCTACAGTTCCAACATGCCAAGTGAACAAGGAGAATCTACTCCTAAACCAAATTCATCATGCTACATGCACATTAATTCATAATGTATTAACTATTGCATTCACAGTGCAGCAAATCCATACTGCAGTCACTTTCACTGAGTGCCAGGGAATTTCATAGCAATGCTGGTTAGATAGTTGAAAACTAACAATAACATATTTACAATGAGTGGGCTACATATAGGATTTGACCGTTATCAAAACAAGATATGCATTGAAGTGTTGTTTATATACGAACACACAAAACCAGTTATCAAGCCATGGAAATTATTCAGTTAAATGTCTAAAATAAACACAACCCAGACAACCAAACCAAAAACAACCAGAAAAGAGTTTTTCAAAACAGAGATCACATTTTCTACTATATCTCAATGCACATTCACTGAAATTACACATAGATAGCTATGTTATCTACACAAAGTGAGGAGAGGCACTGATCATCATGCTTAAGCAACGTATAAAAATTGGTGTTTATAAGGATTCCATGCTTTGACAGCTGTTAGTACTTCAGCTACACACTACACTACCTTCAACTCCAATTAAGAGAATACCTGATATGACTGATTTAAAAATATAAGGAGATTAAAAAATAAGGGCACATCAATACACAAATATATATAGTTTACCCACATAAACCTCAGGAGACTACCAGGGCCCTACAACAAATTTCTGAAAATGTATCTGCTTTGTGGACAGGTGACATTTTCAATTCCATGGTTTTTTGTCTTGAATTGTATGCCATGTGGTTGATTCGCCACATAAGGAATTTTCCATGATGTGATTTTTGTTGTTGATTTTAACTAAGTAATTGACTGTAGTCATTTTAATTTACTAATTAAATATGCTTCATTAATGTCATGACCTTAAGTCCAACAGGTATTTGCCTAACAAGAATTGATTGTTATGAAAGAAAAATAAATCCCACTTGTCCTGGTCAAAAATATACTGTTTGTTTTTCTTATAAATGTTTAAAAAGGCAGGAGGTATTTCTATAGCGCTACCCTATTAAAGTGGTCCCATTGTTGTGTCATTGGTCCATTTACATGAAGGCAAAGCTAAGAGGCCAAATACTGAATCCTTTACCTAGGCCAAACTCATACAAGTTTTGCCTGAGTAAGATGGACTGAGTGCCTGATCCTGTACTCTTTGCACATGCAGATCTCCAGCTCACAGCCTAAGAATTGTGGGTAAATCAGTTATTCAGGATCTGACCCTGAGAAACAACTAAAGGTTTGGCCCAGGTAAAACCATGCCAAATGTCACAATTAAGGGATGAGAAATCCATAAAACTGTCAATCTAGAAGATTGTTTAGGATGTAATAATACAGTGTTCCATAGTGAACTGCAGCATTTAAGGACACCTCGAAATTCTTAATTCCTATTGCATTTTGTGCTTTGCGTATAATTCATCACTAAATTGCTTTTCTTAGTTCATTAAACAAAATACAGAAAAAAATATTAATCCTAAAATGCTGTTAGAAAACTGGTTTTGCTCTAAGGTATGGATCACCTGTAAGAATTTTTTCCCTTATCTTATATGGTCATATATAAAATATTGTAAGAAAATATTTGTGTGTCTGTAAATTACAGATACTAAGTAATTTAATTCCATCTACATTGTAGTTCTTTCTGGTTTCTGGAGAACAGGTACACACCCATAAAATCTGTATTAATGGCTGAATCAGTTTTGAGCATACCAAATTTAACAAGTGTAATTACATGTGTAATTCTTTTCTCATGCATTCTATAAATTACAGTTCACACTAGAGTATAAACTGGCTACATTAAGAAAGCAAGCAGGATAGGTTGAAAAGAAGTCTATAGATTTTTGTTGCAATATTCTTTAAGGAGGAAAGACAACCTGCAGTATATGAGAACTTACAAGCCTACATGAAGCCAAAAATGGGAATACTTGAATCTACAGTACTGACTGCAAAATCTGTTTGTAAATATGCTTTGCAAATGTTCTTCCAAAACTGTAGAAAACAAATAGAAAAGAACGATACAAAAATCCCCATGAAGTATCCTATTTATGTACAAAGTTCTATGCAGTAATTAGACCATCTAGGCTATGTGATGCTATCTATGAAACACCATTTTATAAGTTTCCTCTCTATGTAAAGGTGTATGTCTCAGAGTATTTCTTGAAAATATTGAAGACTCTCGGTGCTATCTTTAGTTACAAAAATCAAACTAGAAGCATTAAAGACGCCAACAACGGCGGGTAACATATCTATATAAGAACCTAGATAGACAAATAGGTGATTTGGGGAAATAAACCAAAAAGCTGGGTGATGTAAGAAATATCATGCCTCCCTGCCCAGGGCCGGCTCCAGCATTTCTGCTGCCCCAAGCAAAGAAAAAAAAAAAGCCGCGATCGGCGGTGGCAGTTCAGCGGCAGGTCCTTTGCTCCTAGAGGGAGTGAGGGACCTGCCGCCCCCAAATTGCCGCAGGTGCCGCCCCTCTCCCTTGGCCGCCCCAAGCACCTGCTTGTTAAGCTGGTGCCTGGAGCCGGCCCTGTCCCTGCCTCTCCAAACCCTTCATTAGCACATTGGTGAGTGGCATCTTTAACTAGCAGAAAACCTAGGCAGTGCCTCAACAGTATGCTTAAACAATGTTACCATATGGAGCTCAGGGTTTATAAAGGACCATGGCTTTAAATGTCATATCCATTAGGAATTGTAACTGTGGGTAGCAGAAAGGTGTCAGGTTTCCACTTACCAGATGGAGATGTCTCTTGGTTAGGAGGAAACACTGGGGGTTGGTTCTAAAGAGTCTTGTGTCACTAAACCCATGCATTCCACAGATAAACAAGTTCTCAGTGCCTGGGCATTAGTGAAAAGTAGCAGCACTGTGGCTCATTACAGCAACAGATTTCAATTCAATATCAAACAAGAGCCTAGGAAGAAATGGGGGGAAGCAAAGGATAACTATCAGTGTGGACCCAATTCTGCAGTCCTCTCTCTGGCACAGCTCCCATTGACTTTAGTGGAAGTTTTGCCTAAGTAATACCAGGATGACAGAGTCTGCCTGAGAACTGCAGGACTGGTCCCTGCCGGTGTGTGTGTAGGGGGAATGCAAGATTACTGGAGAGGTGAAAAATGTATGTTACAAAATATTGCTTCTGGTGAATATTGAGCAAGAATTTAACACTTCTGGAACCCTGTCTCAGGGCAAAGTTCAGCAAATTTGTTTCACATCTCCTCCTTATCCTCCCTTCCCTTACTCTATAACATTGTTGTGCAGGGAAGTTGCTTTTTGTAATGGCTATAGCTATAATCTGTACATCACTCTTCTGCTACACAAAACTAGATAAAAGTCTTATCTTCAACATCATCACTCTCAAAGCTATGTCTTTCATAATATATTCTACGTGTAGCAGTAGTTTCAGCACAACATTATAAGATGGCCTAAAAATAATGATCATGCTAGAGCAGCAGCAGCAGAATTGATCCCTGGCGTAACTCCATTCAGATCAGTAGAGTAACACCAGAGAAGAATTTGTCCCAATGTGCTATATGCTTATGACAATAACGCACAAGACAAATATTACAGTAATGGCCCAAGAAGTCACAGTAATATGATCAACTGTAGTCTTCTGGCTCGGTACAGTAGAATACTGCAGTATATTTTTATAAGGTGCCAAATGCAATAAACAAAAATGGAACATATGGAACTTAATCTGATGAGCAGGAGATGTACTTTAAATATTCATAATAGGGTTTTTCAGGCCTGGTACTAAAGATCAAAGCCTTTCTAAAGGCATTACAAGAGGCTGTAGAAATCAGAGGCTAGATTGGCAACTGATGCTGTTTTCAGAAAACTGTTTGATTGCTGCTGAGCCGCTACAACAGGAATCATATAACAGCATGAGGCTGGGAAAGCAAAGAAAATACAGGCAGTTGCCAGAGTACAGTAATTTGAGCTCTGTTGTTTTTTGCTGCTGCTTCTATTTATAAGACAAGTAGTTTGCTCTGCTAAACATCGGCATCCATCAAAGTACCAACCCAAGGATATGATACCAATACTTGGAAAACAAATCAGAAATCTATACTGCTCAAGGATCTTTAAAACCCCATAGTGTTTGGAATTCTGTGTTCCCAGAGGTGATGGCAGAGTCCATTTACTAGGATTTTAGACAAAAATGGACACTAGCTATATCTCGGGGTATAAACAGATCAGAAGTTTAATGACAGTGATCTGAATTCAGAGGCAGAGGTTTAAACTCACTGCTGGATTTGGGAATGGGAAGTGATTTTCCTTTATGGCATGTTGGCAGAGACCTTTTGGATGGGGGAGGCATCATCAGCTAGAGAACCAAGAAAAGATCATTCACTGGGATCAGGCGGAAGGAATTGCACAGTCTGTTTCCATTGGCTGAAGGAGGTGGGAGGGGCCACTGTTGAACCTTGACCCTTCTTAGAGTCTTCTATACTGCAAGAGTTTAAAAGCTTTCAAAAGCTGACAACACAGACCATTCAATCAATTTAATCAGAATCCATATTATTGTCTGTGGCTTACCTGCCAGCATTGACAAAACAAGCTCCCACAATAGCCCTATTTATGAATGAATTAATTCCTCATTATTTTAGCTAACAGCATTCATTGATTTTCTTCTCTCTCTCATGTTGTGACCCATATTTTGGTCTTTGCAGGTGGAGGAATGATGGTGTATTTATAATTATAAATGACTGAGATTGCTATGTGTACAGAAACTGAAAACAGACCATTTCAAATAAGACAGCATGGGCCTCAACATGAAGTACAGGTTCTGATCCTGCTCCCACTGAAATCAATGATGAAACCCCAATTGCTTTCCAACAATGTTGGACTGGGGCCAAAGTCTCCAGCTAGCATTAAGAACAGACAATGTATTAATAGCAACTGCTCTGGAATGGTGAAGGATGAAAAATAATAATCCTTCTCCATTTTAAAATTAATGGGAGTTTTTAGTGCATATAGTTGGGTTGATCAGGCTCTGTGCATGCTGCCAGGTGCTAAGTGCTTCCTGGAAGGAAGCATAAATCCTCAATTCCCAAAGGGAATTCAGAGTGGTCAGCATCTTGCAGGCACAGTCCCTGTTTTCCAAAGAAACAAAAATAGTCTCTCAGTTTTAAATGACGGGGGCCCTTATTGTAACACTGTCTAATTGGCATAAATATAGGGGCATCTTAATGCATGAGACCTGTGCAAACTTCTTGTTTTATACAAAGTGCTGGTGCAGTCTTTGTTTTTCTGGAGGAGGAGTACAGAAGAAGGAACAAATTCAGAAGCAAACTGTTTCTCCAAGTTAACTATAATGTGCACTGGGCCTTGAAGGCTAGCACCAGAACAAACCCTAACAGAGTCATGGCCCTCATACAGTTCTCAAGCAGGTGCTTAACTACAGTCCTATTCAGAAAAGCATGTGCTGCTAAATTTTAACCATGAGCTTAAATGCTTTCCTGACTAAGGATGCTTACCAGGATCAAGGCTTTCCATATTCCACTGATGATGTCAGTGTTCTAGAGGGCACATATATATCATACTTGTGTAAGCAGCAGGGGACTAGCTGAGAGCAGAGCAAAGAAAATGACTGGAGAAGGGAACTTCAGTTCACATGGAAATAACTCAAGAGTGTGTGTTCTGCCTTATCCTGTGCTCATCCTTGAGTTTTGCCATCCAAACAATGGGGAAATGAGTAAAGGAAGAGAACACTGAAGGCCAGGTGCAAAATAATGAGGCTAAAGGATGATGTGACAGTGACAAGCATTATCCACTCAAATGTGAAACTTGCATTAGCTCAAGTGGCCATTTCCTGGGATTTTTCTTGTTTGTTTAGTTAAGCAGCAACCCAGCCTCATGTGGAATGAGCAAATTAGCAACTGCAAGCCAAGTATGAGTTACATTTTCCCCCAAGAAATGGAAAGCTTTTTGATGGTTAAATTCAGTACTGTGCCAGAGTAGCTACACATTAAATATTACATGGGAGAATTCAGCCTGGGAGATAGCCAAAGTGTTTCCCATAAGTAGCACATTTCTATATTATAAGTAGAAGAATGACATTGTAATTATCTTTGAAAGTTCCCTGAGTTACTGCAACTATAAAGTCTTACTTAAAAGTCCTACAGTCTGCTTTTTTAGTCAAAACTAAAGCCCCAAATTTGCTCTCTGTACGTGAGTGGAGTTACTCTAAATTTTCACCTCCTCCTCCTCCTCTAGTCCCATCTGAAGAACTTTTTAAAGGGCAATATGTCCAAAGCAGATAGGTGTAAGGAAGGATGTCTGAAACAGTGTTTCTCAATAGATAACTGTGTGGAGCAGCTTAGTCACATGGTGCTGGCTCTCCTACCTGTTTCCAGCTATCATATTGCTTTAAAAGATAGCTAAAAATACACTAAACACTTTCCTAATGTTACCTTTCTCTGTAGGCAATTGCTGTAGCTGCCACAGGGAAGTTAGATTATTATGAATAGGATGGAAGTGGTTTAGGAGACCACCTCTCGAAAATATGGGCCAGGCTATGAAAACCTTTGAGAACCCAAGCTCTACACTACAACAAACACTATGTTCTAGTCTGGTATAATTGTAGGGTGATCATACGTTCCGTTTTGGCTGGGACAGACCCTTTTTTAAGTCCTGTCCTGGCTGTCCCGACTTTTTTTTTTAAAAAAAGGAGGCATTTATCCCGTTTGCTCTTACTGACTTGACCAGTTGGCAAGAGCAAATGGGATAAATACCCACTTTTGTCCAAAAAAAGCAGGGTGCGGTGCAGAGGGGGCGAGCAGAGATGCCAGCCCCCCGTGGGTGGGTGGGGGGGAGCGTTCCAGCATGGGGGGTGGAGGGCAGCAAGGTTCCAGCAATTGGAAATAGCCTCCTGAGGGGGCCCCTGCAGGGTACCTGTGACGGGGAACAGCCTTGCATGGGGGGAAAGGGGCCACAGGTGAGCAGCTGGGGGTATCCTGTTTTGTCTTTTGGAAATATGGTCATCCTATACAATTGCTACTTAGCTCTCAGTGACTTTCATGTGAGGTTAGCCAACAGCCCAAATGTTAGAGTTCATTTTAGAGAGTGTTACAGCTGTCTTGAGCAATTGATCTCTTTCTGTGGGGATCAGGGAAGTGAACTCTTCTTCAAATCCAGACTAAGTCCCTGATCCTGAGAAGTTCTGTGTACCCACAATTCCACTAAATACGTTGAACAAGATGGAACAGAATTCCATAGAACAGTACAAAAGACCTACAGAAAAGGACTAATTCTCTATTAAATTCTTTAGGTTGTCAGAATAATGTCTATAGAACTCACAGTAGTTTAATAGCTATTAAATTCTTTAGGACTTTTCAGTTAGTGAGGCAGCAAGGGGATGTCAAAAGAGCACTAATGTTCCCAAGGAAAATACTGCACAGCTACAAATATTTGAATGGTGAATATGTTGACTATAGGTTTGATTCTGCAAACCATTAAACAGGTGAGTAGTCCTTACTAGCAGGGGCCCATAGTGACTTCATTGGAATAGCTAACACAATACAAATTAGCAAAACTAGACTGAATTATTGTTTAAACGCTACATTCACACATGTTATTCCAATTTACGTCAATGGCAGCACTGCACTGTGCATGGACAGAGAGAAGCATATGTGCTTCATTTCCAATCTCACCTTTTAGGTAGGTTCATTATAAGCTCATAGGCTGGACAGCTCAGAGAACATTTTAAGAAACACTCACATCACAGAAGGTTTGTTCAGAGGGCAGAGTTTCCCTCAGCTACCTGGCTCAGATTTGCTGTAAAACATTATTAATTTCATAATAGAGTACACCTATGTCTTTACAAGCACTGATTTTTAACAAGCACCTTTTAAACAACCTAAGAGAATGATTATTGCACCTCTACATCTTACATTAGTTATACCGTGTCGACAAAACTCTGCCTTGTTTATTCCTATGCCATGTGGTCTAGAATCACTGCTTGTCTGACATCAAAGACATTTATACAAATTGTTTCTTCACAATAGAGAGATGGGGATTCAATTTTTATTGGATTGAATCCTGAAGTCCTGGTTTACTTTTCACTCAGTCCTAACTCTGGCAAAATTCCCATTGACTTCAATGCAAAATTTGACCAGGTAATGACTTCAGGATTTAGCTCATTGGCTCAAATCTAAGATGGACTTGAGAAGAATAATAGTTATCACTTCAAATTAAGTGTCCTAAATATACATTTAGTTTAGCTTAGTTAACAAACCAACGTATGCTAAGCACCATTACATTTTAACACCCTATTACATATAATTGCTCGTCCTCAACAAAAAGAATGTTCAATAATCATTTGGGGACAGATTCTGGTGCCTTCCTTAAGTTGAATAACATCATTCTCCTTGAATAGTTTCAGAGGGACCAAATGGGCTGTAAGGTCCTATTTGATGTGAAGAGTGCATCAGAATCTGGTGCTATCTGAAAGGCCCGGAACCTGGCCCTTTGTATTTACTCCACTGAATTTAATAAAGTTATGCCTGGGGTGAATTTGGCCCCCAAAACCTAAATGAAATATTTATTTGAGACACTTAATTTAAAGTGTACCTGGGAAGATGAAAATTCTGAGTCCCCCATGCCAGCTGCTAATTATCAATAAAACTTATAGAAAACCTTTAGAGACACTTACAATAAATAATGTAGTTACACAATGTTGACTGTACCAAAGGTACACTGCAGTACTGATTTGTACATACATCACAAGAAGAGACACTGAGAACAATTTAAGGTTTATATGATACTATATGTTCATTACCCTGAGTCCCTGGAGAAAGCCATACTGGCTTTTTGATCTTTCCATTTTGCAGCATCTACATTTTCTGACTCTTGAGCAAAAGAGAGGCTGGTGAGAACATAACTGTTAATTCATAGAGTATTCTCCAGCTTCATCCATTCAAACAGTACAAGTGAGACAGATAGTTATGGATCACTATTTGGCAAAAACACGGTAGCTACAATGACTTTATGAGATCTTTGCTAAGTTTCGGTTAACAAATTAAATAAGCAGAAACTTTAGATGTTAAATAAATAGAGAAATATTCTTTAATCTTGATATCTTTTACCATAAGATAGCTTCAGGGGCTTATTAAAGATGGAGATGGGACTCGCTTTCCTTAATTTTCACGTTTCCAAGGCTCTTCCTCAACAACAGTGAAGTCTGCAGATTTGCCATTGGTTGCCAGTGTCACCTGCAAGTAATTATCATTGACAGCTAACTTAAAGGCCAAGGCACTTTGACAAGAAAAGTTATGCGTTATATGGAGAAGCATGATATTTATAGGAGTAACATACTCCATGTGTGAATATATATGTATTTTATATATATTTATTCATAATTCACAATGTCCTCAAAGTGCAGAGAGGTGTGTGTGTGCGTAGGTGGGGATGGGTAATTTTAATATTGGCTAGAAAACATTAGTGAACAATGATCCATGTTTTTTGGATTTTATTTTCCCTTCACTGTTTGAAGTCATGTAGTTTTCATAAATATTTTACACATATAGACAGTCCTGTCACTTTCAGACTTTTCCTAATTTGCAAGAAGAGTTTAACTTGAACTAAAAAAATTTCCTATAGAACTCATCTGCACTGCAGGACATCTGCTGGAGGATATGGAGGAATGTGAAAGGGACAGAATGATAGAGGAATGTGGATACATATATACACACACATTACAAAAACTTCAAAGAAAATGGCAGAATAGCTGCTCCACAGACATGTTGTAAAACATCATTCATTGTGCCACTATTTCTACTCATGCATGTGAAAGGTTCAGTTACAATCAGGTCAAACAATTCTTATAAATACTATATTTTATACACAGAACAATAAAAAAGGTCATTGTAGCATTTCAAGGTTCATGCTACAATATTAATTTGATAAGTATGGTGGAAGACCAATATTGGTTTATCAGTTCATGGGAAATGTTGATCGCTGTGTTACAACCCAACAGTCAGTATAAAAATAGCCATGTGAAATCCTTAACAGGAGATGTGTGGGGCTCAAGCTAAAGTATTTTGTTTGACTGAGGAAAAATGAACTGGACCTTTACATAGTATGGGAACCTTTTGTCTAATTCTATATGGATGGCCTATTCTTTCCTAGCTTACCTTCCAAGTTACTGTCCTCAGCTTCATATGAAAACTTAAAGACAGGACTGATATTCCACATGATGGGTAAACTGAATATATGGAAGCATTTGGACAGGGAAACATTACAAAAATGCACCAATGTTTAAAACAAAGCCAACCTTTTTCACAGATAATTGGAAGGGAAACACATGCAGTTACAAGAATACACAGCATATTTGGAGCTGAAAACCACATAAAGTAATGTGAAAAGTGATCATAAAAATAGAGAAATATCATGCAATAAGAGCCACTATACTCCCACATAAAAAATAGCCTACTTATTATAAATATACAGTGGCTACACAAGACTATAAAAGACTTGAATTATCTGGAGTATATTACAGGAAGTAAATAGAGATGATATGTTAATATATTAGCTTTTCAAAACTTTGATCAGAGTTGCAGCGAACTTTTCTCCCTTCCAGTGAATTATCTCTTGAAGCTCAAGACCTTGGTATTTGGAGCCTGATAAGGTAATACTACATCATCATCATTACCAAAATATTTGGGAGTTGTAGAGCACTTTACATGTTCAAAGTGCTTTACAAACATCAACTAATCCTCACAACACCCCTGTGAGGTAGGTAAGTATTCTTATCCCCATTTGGCAGATGAGGACACTGAGCCAGACAAGTATTTGCCCAAGGACAGTCCTGTGTTTACTCTACTATGTCAAGGTTCCTCTCATATACTTGAATGTACTAATTAAGCTCCCAATGAAGAGCAAGCCTAAAACAACAATGACAAGTGTCAAATTTTGCTAGCTTAGGAGTCAGTGGTATCCAAACAAAAAAGGCCTGCTGATATAATTCAAGAACTGTGTTAAGTTCATGTCTGGTAAACAAGACCAGTGTGGGACTGGAAAACAATGAACCAAAATTGGTGTGTTTGAAATTAGAGCTAACTGGTGGACAAAATAATGAGGGGATGGACTAGTGCATCCATCACTCCCTTTTGAGGTCCTTAAAAGAGACTCC